AATGCTCAACTTTTTATTCACTGAAAATCGTATGAATATAAAGCTAAGGATTAATTTTTATATTTCATGCTAAAATAGCTGTTGGATTTTTTATTGGTATTGCATTTAAAATAGAGATTACTTTGGGTAGTATCGACACCTTAAAAATATTAAATCTTCTCTCCAATTCATGAGCATGGAACATCTTTACATTTATTTAAGTCTTCTTTAATCTCCTTCAGCAGCATGTTTTAGTTTTCATTGCATGAATCCTTCATGTTCTTGGTTATATTTATTCATAGATAATATGTTCTTTTATATCCCTGGCATTTTATGTACATAGATCATATGATCCATGCATAGAAATAGTTTTACATCTTTGCCATCACCCACTGTTTTATTGCTCCAGTTAGAACTTTTAATAACTATTAAATAACAGTGGTTAGAGTAGGTGACCTTGTCTTCTATCTGATTTCAAGGGTAAGGGACTTTATGCATTAAGTATAATGTTGACTATTGACTTTTCATATATGCCCTGAATCTCACTAGATATTTCTCTTCCATTCAAATTTTTTAAAATGTTTTCATCAAGAAAGGATTTGGTCAAGTGTTTTTATAAAGATGATCATGTGATTCTTTTCATTTTTCTGTTGATGTGGTGTATTAAATTGGTGGATTTTCTGATGCTGACCCATCTTTGCATTCCTGGAATAAATCTCACTTGGTCATTGTAATAGTTACATAATCTGTTGTCAATTTGAGACTTAAGATTGAAGGGGTGGAGGTTAGCCTGTCAATCAGATAGCACCTTGATGACCTCATTTGGAGCTGCTGAGGCTATAAATAGCTCGCTGGAGGTGAGACACAGAAACACTCCCTGCAAGACATTCCACTTGTGAAGACACATGGAGCTATGCCAGAGCCCTGGAGCCAAAGGAGCCATGTGAAGACGCTTGTACCACCACTGGATCCACAAGACTTTCCACCCACTGGCCTGTGATCTTCCTGCATTCGGCGTCATTGCATGTGTTTCATGAGTCTGAAGAGGACTTTAGTGATTGTTATCAGACATATGGGCTAATATCAGACTTATGGACTTGATGTGGGCTGAGATGTTTTTTCAATATTCAATTGCTCTTGTATATAAACCCCTTTCTTATACACATGAGTGTCTCTATGAATTTTGTTTCTCTCGCTCACCTAGACTAACACAGTCATGGTGTATGACTCTTAATATGCTGTTGAATCTGTTTACTAGTATTATGCTTAGGATTTCTGCATCTATGTTAATAAGATACAGTGGCATATAGTTTTCTTTCTTAAGATGCTTTTGGTCTGTTTGGGGTGTCCGGGTTATGCTGTGTCATAGAAGGAATCAGGGACTATTATTTCCTTCTCTGTCTTTTTAGAAGAGTTGAAAGAGCATTAGTGTGGATTCTTTTCTAAAGATTTGGTAACTTTCCTAGTGAAACCAGGACTTGGTTTTGTTGTGAGGTTTTGTGTGACTCATTTGTCCTCTTCGCTTGTTATGGGTTTGTTGAGATTTTCTATTTCCGCTTGAGTTTGTATGGCTTTGCTATGTGCTTCGAAGAATTGCTGTATTTCATCGAAGCTCTTCCATTTGCTACTATGTAGTCATTCATAACATTGTTTCATAACTCTTTATTTCTGTCAGGTCAGTTGTAATGTCTCTTCTCTCTCACTTTTTAAAATTTTGATTATTTTCATTTTTTCTTATGTCAGTCTAAATTTTGTCAATTTTATTGATCTTTTTGAAGAACCAATTTCTGGTTTTCTTGATTCTATTGTGTTTATGTTTGTGTGTGTTTATTATTTATTAGTAATATGCTGCTTGATAACTACTGGTTTGATCAGGAGTGAGTGCGTATGTGTGTGTGTATGCATGTGTGCTGTTGTAAAATACATATAATAAAGCTTTTATATTTCAACATTTTTATATGTACAGCTCAATGACGTTCATCAGGATTTAGAATAATTCTTACATGAGCTTCTCCCAGAATCTAAGTCTAATAGACCTACAGAAATCATGATAGTTTCCTCACAGGCTACCTTCTTAAATAGTTAAGGTAATTAGAACGTATTAGAAAGGACAAGTGATGACTGGTTCATATGACCCATTCTCCTTTCTCTTAAGTTCTACAAAGGCCACACCTTTCTCAAAATACAATCAGAACTTTGCCTTTTTATAATTAATTAGATAACAACTGGCCTTAGATGACATACATTTTAGTGTATGTGGTGCTATTTGAGAGATACTTAGGTTTCATGAGAAATATATGTTCAAGTCATTGTCTATTCCAGTGATTTCTGAATATCATGGATTTGCCCTATTTTTATTTCAGAGGCTGGTACAGAAATTACAGCAAAGAGTAGCAAAAATTTCTACCTACGTACACTTGTTTGTTGGGTGGAGTGAAGACCTGAAGCCCATGTATAGACATTTGGACAGCCCCTCACAGAAGGGTCACGAGGAAGAGATGAGCCAGTCAGGGTGCAGTATGGCACCGATGAGCACACATCTTTCCTCTAGTTCCTTAATGCTTTCTTCCCCCCACTATCAGGACCTCAATTCTACCTTACAAATCAGATTAGACCAGAAAATGCACACTGCTACAGATAAGAGCCCTCTACACAGGGAATCCAGATAGATAAACCCCTCAGGGCCAACAATGAGAGTAGAGATACCAGGAGGATTAGGGGAAGATGGGGGAGAAACAGAGAACCGATCAGAAGGATCAAGATATACCCCCCTCCCAGGGAGACAAACAAGAGAAAAGTGGGTGAAGGGCGACAGAGGATGATGTAAGATATGAAAATAATAATCTATAACTTATCAAGGGTTCATGAGAGAGGGTGGGCGGGGAACGGAGGGGGAAAAATGAGGAGCTGATACAAAGGGCTCAAATGGAAAGAAAATGGTTTGAAAATGATGATGGCAACATATGTACAAATGTGCTTGACACGATGGATGATTGTATGGATTGTGATAAGAGATGTAAGAGCCCCCAATAAAAGTATTTAATGAATAAATAAATAATTTTAAAAACACTCTTATTGCAATGAAATCTATTTTGAAAAATTAGCAACATTATGTGCATGGTTTTATGATTACTGATACTGTCACCAGAAAACTGTAAACCAATATATGTTATGAATATAGATGCAAAAATCCTGAACATAATACTAGTAAACAGAGTTCAACAGCATATTAATAATCATACATGGTAGAATATTATGTTGCCTCTAAACATGATTATGGGGATGCTATATGATCATGAATATTTTTGATGAAATGCAAAGAATTAGTTCAAACAGTTGAAATGTGTTCAGTTATCATAATTGTGTAATAATAGAAATATACAGTATAAATGTACAATGAAAACAGCTGTGAGTTTATGAGTACAGTAACAAAAATGGCATTGTGGTTTAGTACTGTACTGTTGTTTTCAAAGATTCAAAATATCCTTTGGCTTGGTTATCAAACTTGGGGGCTGTCTCTCATCAGTGTTGATAACAGAGTTTCTGTTTTGTTTTGTTTTTAAATTATTTTATTGGGGGCTCTTACAGCTCTTATCACAATCCATCCATCTATCCATTGTGTCAAGCACATTTATACATATGTTGCCATCATCATTTTCAAAACATATTCTTTCTACATGAGCCCTTGGTATAAGCTCATTCCCCATTCCTCCCTCCCTCATGAACCCTTGATAATTTTTTTTCCATGACTTACACCAACCACTGTCTCCCTTCACCCACTTTTATGTTGTCTGTCCCCCTGGGAGGGGGCTATATGTAAATCATTGTGATCAGTTCCCCCTTGTCCCCCTACCTACCCCTTCCCCTCCTGGTATCGCTACTCTCATTATTGGTCCTGAGGGGTTTATCTGTCCAGGATTCCCTGTGTTTCCAGCTCTTATCTGTACCTGTGTACATGCTCTGGTCGAGCCGGATGTGTAAGGTAGAATTGGAGTCGTGCTAGTGGGGCGAGGAATGGGAAGCATTAAAGAACTAGAGGAAAGTTGTGTGTTTCATCAGTGCTATACTGCACCCTGACTGGTTCGTCTCCTCCCGTGACCCTTCTTTAAGGGGATGTCCAGTTGCCTACAGATGGGTCTTGGGTCTCCACTCTGCACTCCCCCTTATTCACATTGATATGATTTTTGTTGATTACAAAGTTTTGACAGAACCCAACATCCTATATTGCAGCGGTTCTCAACCTGGGGGTTGCAACCCCTTTGGCAGTCGAACAACCCTTTTACAGGGGTCGCCTGACTCATAACAGTAACAAAATGACAGTGATGAAGTAGCAACGGAAATAATTTTATGGTTGGGGGGTCACCACAACATGAGGAACCGTATTAAAGTGTCAGGGCATTAGGAAGGTTGAGAACCACTGCTGTATAACCTCTCAGATTTCATTCACTTGGTGACTGAGTTAGTTAATTGTGCCAGCCTGGCCGATAATCACATGTGGGGCTGGTTGAAAGGCGGAGGGATAAATGGGTGGTGAAGCCTCGCCTTTCTCGTTCTCGGGTCTCTTGTGATGGTTGCACCGGGTGCAGCTGCCTTAGCAGTTCCCTGCTTCAGCTTGCAAGATTGACTTCCTACAAGATATCCCCAAGGAGAAGCTACATGGACCTATCCCAATGCAGTCCTGGGTGCTGGAGCCGCCGTGTGGAGACCCCTGCTAGTGCTGAGATGCTTGTTCCTTCACGGACTCAGCTTTCCTCCTGCAGTCGGCATCATTGCCTCTGTTTTGTGAGGTGGAGGACTTTGTGGACTGGTGTTGGGTTAATGGGTTAATGTTGGACATGTGGGCTTGGGCAGCATTGGGTTGGGATGTTTTCGTGATGCACCTTTTCTTTACATAAAACTCTCTCTTATACATGAGTCGCTGTGGATTTGTTTCTCCAAAGTACCTAGACTAATACAGTGACAACATGGATTTTTTTTTTAGGTGACAGTAACTGACATTTCTGTATTGCTTTTCTTGACAGTGATGAAAACGCAAGGAGAGATTTAAAGACACTACCAGCCTTTCCAACCAAAACTCTTCAGGAGCACCCATCCCTTGCTTACTGGTAAGTCAAGTCAAGATAGCAAATGTATGCTACCCAGGGACCCCACTGTCTTCACCTCCATTAGAAACCAAATGCTTCCTAGGAAATTAAAACAAATAGAGGTGAATAAAACATCAGGAGAAGTATGGCGCTAATAAAAATGAGTACAAGAAAGAAGGAAATGCCCCCAAATGTGGTGATTATACAACTCCTTTTAATGTGATTGCACTGTTGAATTGTATTCCGTTAAAACTGTTAAAAAAGAAGAAGTTGATGTCACTCACTCAGACCTACTAGTTTCAGGCAGGAAACCAAATGGGAAACGTCAGCCAGGTGTGGGGCAGTAGGGCGCAGTAGGGACTGTGGTGAGCGAAAGGACCTTCACCCCGGAGCAGAGACTCAGCTATAGAATGCAGGCACTGTAAAGGCTCTGCGTGTGCTTTATGTGAACATAGCCCTGTCTGTGTAGTCCCTGTGTAATGTAGCCTTAATCTAGCAGAGTGCAGACTTCCTTGACTAGAGGTTTCCTTCATGATTAAAAATTACTTTAATGACCAGAGGTTTCCACTGTGTCCAGAAATTGTTATCTATATTGAGTTGTTTTATTTATTTGCATCTTAATGAATCCATAGTGCCTATTTCCCATACCTCATCTTCCCTAGAAAATGACTTTGAATTTGACTTTGAATTACTTAGCATCCTTTTAAGTATATATTCCTTGCTTTGAGTCTCTGAACTGGAAAGATAGGTTTCTTTTCCACTAAAAAGCAGGTACAAATTGTGTATTCAGCATGGCCAACTTTCCTATGAAAGCTGGGCTATGTTTCGCAGGCACGCAGTAAAAATGAGTGATGAGATCTTCGTTACATCTTGATTCTGGAGTCTTCTTAAGAAATTAAGTGGTAGTTTCTAAGAGCCAAATTCAGGCCAATCACCACTGATTACTGGTCTTTCTTTGGAAACTCTAGACCTGGAAAAGCTCATGGTTAAAATCTCACAGTTATCACAGAGACAAAGATAAAAATATTTACTCGTCTAGGTTACACTTGAGGTAGGACTAAAGAAGTGTCTTGTCTGAAAGAGGATAAATAACTGAATGAATTCAAGGGTTACCAGACTTCAGCCTGGCTCTCTTCTTTCCAGTCAACAAGATTTATCCCAGGACAGTAATGAAGGGGGTTGTCTCCTAAAACCCTGGGTCGTTAAGAGGTAACAATCCAGTCACCACTTTCAGATTCAGAGACATTTTCAATATTTTTTAAACCTTTCTGAATAATTCAAGGAGACACTTAAACATCTAACACTCAATTATTGGTCCTTTTTAACCAAAGAGAAGGTGGGTCTTGTGTTCAAAACTTCCCCTGCTATATTCTCTAACTTGCATTTAATACGCATATTTGTTTTTATTGTCTCTCATTAAACTATAACAAACGATAACACTTTTGCATCGGAGAAATTGATGTTATGTTTCCTTTAAATACCTAAAGTTTCGTTGTTCATTTATGTGACAAAAATCATAAGGAGATAGGCAAAAATGTCTGTTGTTCAGGGAAGCTTGTCCTACAGAAACAAAAATCGAGTTGATGTAGACCTTCCCTCTCACATGTTCAAGAACCACCTAAGAATCTTGATTGAGTCTGGATCTCCTATAGCCACGCATTGACACACACTGCTTATTTTTCCTTGTTTTACAGTGAGGACAGGGCAATTGAGCATTATGTGAAATTCAAAGGTCTGACTCGAGGCCAAGCTGTGGTTCAGTAAGTATCTTTATTTCCTTTGGCTTAAATAGAATCTTAATATTCTCAGTTTCAAGAAGTCATCTGAAATGGTCTCTGCCAATTGTGGAATTGATACCCATGCATAGAGACCCTGGAGTACAGAGAACTGCCCCCGTGGGATTCCCACGCTGTAAATTGCTAAAGAAACAGATGCCCATCAGCTTTCAAGGAGCAGCTAATACAGTCAACCCACCAGCCTGTAGGGTAACCGCTGAATGCTAAGCCGCTGCACCTCCAGGGCCCCTTCCTATTCCCTGAACATCTTTTTACTCAGAACAGCCCACTTTCAGGAAGCCGATTGTGAAAGGGCAATTAACATGGTCCATCCACTTGTATAAAATAAACAGGAAAATGTATAAAGACCAGAGTTTCAGTGGTCCCACGTTTAGGCAGGCTCGAGTATCTGTTACGGTGATGGGACACTTGGCCACAGACCCTCGTTGTGATTGTTCGGTGACCACTTGCCCCCACCCGCACTTCGGAAGGAAGTTTGTCTGTGTTCACTGTTGTCTTTCTTATCTTCTTCCCCTTCAAATTTTATTCAGTGACATTTTGTTGTTGTAAAGAACATACAGAGCAAAACATGCACTAGGACAATCATTCCCTCAAGTGACATTGATTACATTCTTCAAGTTGTGGAACTGTTTTCAACCTCCTTTTCGGACTTGCTCCTTCCTCCTTAGCACAAACCCATTGCTCGCCGCCCCACCACCCAGTCCCACCCCCTCCCAGCCCAGGCTCCTAGCTACACCTTTGGGGTTGTTTTTGTCCCTTTGATCCTAGATAAATAGTTCTTAAAAGAGTACACTACTCAGGACAGATCTTTTTCTCTGGTTAAGCAAAACTATTGTTTGGTTTTAAATAAAGGGGATATTTCTGGTTTGAGGCTTAGAGATTCGTTTCAGGGATTCATCCAGCAAGCCTTGAGTCCGTGGTGATTTGAAATTCGATCCTCTGCTTTTTCCCTTTGGACCAGGATTCTTCTTTGAAATCTTTGATGGAAATATTCAGCACTGGTCCCCGGGCACCATCCGGTTTCATGCCAAAGGAGACAGTTGTTCAGGGAGGCAGTTACCCACACAATCCATTTCCCTACAAGTAACCACACGCTCCTGAATCTCTGTCCTCCTCCATGGCTCCAGGCAAATAGAAACCAGTCTCTCGGCCTGGTATGGCTGCTTGCAGACGCCAGAGACAACACAACAAACTAGAAGTGCAGAAGTGCAGAAGCACTAAGCACATTCTTAGGCCAATGAACTACGATGGCCCATGAAAACCTGGTCCCAAACCTCCCAATCAGGGAACCAATTCCCATGGGGTATTTGGTTGTACCGCCAACCAGCAACACCTCTGTTGCTATTATAGATCTATCACACCATTGTTGCCAATTCAGGTTTTTAGAGGTGTACAACTTAGTGACAGCAATGACAGTAATCAGCAATGTAATCTCATTTTTTTTAATCATAGCATCTGCCATCTTCAAAGGAAAAAGCAGAAGTTAGTGGTCCTTCAGTGGAGCCCTTGACATTTGTTAACTCACTGTTTCCTCAACTGGGGCCATGGAGTGGAACACCATTGCCCTGCAGGACTCTAGTCTAGGTTTGATGAGCACATTCCAAAGTATCCTTGTTTAAAGATAAACCCTTTCGTTATGCCTTGATCATTATCTTTGTGGTTCAAATATGAGTGAAGAATCTGATGTGGGAGTTAAGGCTCTGGAAAGTAGAGATAGGCTGACTCTGTGTGAATCCTGCTTGTGTAATTTAATTGGTACATGGCCTTAATAGGTTTATTTAAACACATATTCATTCACGTGTAGGCCAAAGGCTTAAAAATGATCAGTTTATTGATTGCAAAGTCCAGATAAGTTTATCTTTACCAACCAAACCCAATTGCCTTTGGGTCAATTTTGATTCACAGCAAGCCTATATAGGGTTTTGAGGCTATTAATCTGGTAGAAGCCGATAACCTCAACTTTCTCCCTCCAACCAGCTGGTGAGTTTAAACCGATGACCTTGCAGTTAGCAGACTAAGGCTTAC